GAGAGAGAGTGATAGTCCACTCTCGTATTTGACTAACCTAATTTCTCTCTCTGAAATTATTATATCACTGCAACTTCTCTGATTTTTTTTTTTGGTTTTTTCTTTTGAGTTTTCCCTTTTTCTGGATTACCCATCTCTCTGAATCAAAGAAAGTGAAGAACGATGGATTTTGTCACAGAGAGGGAGGATGAAGAGTAGAAGTAAGAGGGCAGAAGATGAAGGTTGAAGGCGACAGATGAGGAAGCTTCTCTGTTGAGGAAAAGGGTACGAGTTCCTTTGGGGTTTTTCAGGAACAGGGGAAGAAGATTATACAATTTTGGGAATTGGGTAAGTTTAATTTTGTGCAATTTGATTACAGTGAAACTAGAGTAGGTAGTAGCCATGTAAATAGAAAATTGTGAGAGAGATGGGAAGTTGTAGGGTTTTAGATTTAGTCCTCTGTTTATGAACCATGGTTTTTAAGCAACTTATGATACAGTTTGCATTCTGGTTGTTCTTGCTCTTTGAGCCCACATTTCAACAACAAGACTCACTGAGTTCTTCACCAGCCGACCGAGCTGCGTTGCTCGAACTCAGATCATCGTTGGGTTTGAGAAGCAAGGAGTGGCCCATAAAGGGTGACCCTTGCTCTGGCTGGAAGGGTATCAAGTGTCAGAATGGTAGGGTAACTGAGATCAACATTGCTGGATTTAGAAGAACAAGAATTGGTAAGCAGAACCCTCAATTTGCTGTTGAGGCCTTGACTAACTTGACCTTTTTGCAGTCCTTTAATGCTTCAAATTTCTTGCTTCCGGGTGTCGTTCCTGAGTGGTTCGGGCAGCGTCTCGGCTTGCTGCGAGTGCTTGATCTGCGGTCTTGTTCCATATTTGGTTCTATTCCATTGAGTCTGGGGAATTTGAACAACCTGACTGGTCTTTATCTGTCTGATAATAGACTTACTGGGACACTGCCTTCTAATTTGGGCAAACTGTTCAGCCTTTCATTTCTTGATTTGTCACATAATACATTCACAGGAATGATTCCTCCCTCGCTTGAATCTCTTGGCAATCTTTCTCTGCTTGACCTTTCATCTAATTACTTAGCAGGGTCGATCCCTCCAGGCATTGGGAGCCTATTGAAGCTTCGGTATCTAAATCTTTCAAATAACAGTTTGTCTTCTTCAATACCTGCTCAATTTGGAGGGCTTGTTAGCTTAGTTGACCTTGACCTTAGTGTCAATTCTTTGTCTGGACCATTGCCTACGGATTTAAGAAAATTAACGAGCTTGCGAAGCATGGTATTCAGGAGAAATTTTCTTGTTGGTTCCTTGCCTGACACTTTGTTCCGCACTTTAACACAGTTGCAATCCTTGGTTCTGAGAAGTAATAACTTTTCTGGCTCGATCCCTGATGTGTTCTGGTCAATGCCCAGATTGAAGCTTGTTGATGTTTCCGGGAATAGTTTAACGGGAATGCTGCCTAATTCTAGCTCAAGTTTGAATATTACTGGTGCTGTACTTAATGCATCTCAGAATATGTTTTATGGGAGCCTTACACCCATATTGACAAGATTTAGTGCCATTGATCTGTCGGGAAACTACTTTGAAGGCAGAATTCCTGAATATCTACTCGCCAACCTATCTTTCGTGAGTAACTGCCTCCAAAATGTGGCTAACCAGAGGACACTGGCTGTATGTACATCTTTCTATTCTGCAAGGGGCCTCACTTTCGATAATTTCGGCTTGCCCAAGGCGACAGGCCCAACACAACCTCCGCCAGCAGAAGAATCCAAGAAGAGCAGTAGAAATGCTATTATCTTGGGCAGTGTTATTGGTGGAAGTGCTCTTATCTTGCTACTAGTGTTGCTGATACTTTTCTTCCTGTGGAGGCGGAAGAGAAGCACTACTAATCAAAGAGGAGGAGGGGGTGTTGTGGGACCAGTTCTCTCTGGGGATGCCGAACCACCTCCCGAATTGTCGATCAACTTTTCGAGTTTAGGAGAAGCATTCAAGTTCCAGCAGTTGCTTCAAGCAACTAACGATTTTAGCAATTTGAACCTTATCAAACGTGGCCATTCGGGGGATCTTTTCCATGGTGTATTGCGAAACGGGATCCGTGTTGTTATCAAACGGGTCAATCTGCGTACAATTAAAAATGATGCTCACTTGGTGGAATTAGAATTCTTTAGTAAGGTTTCACATGTAAGATTAGTTCCCCTTGTTGGCCACTGCTTGGAGAATGAAGACGAGAAGTTCCTGGTGTACAAATATCTGCCAAATGGTGACTTGTCATCTTCCTTGTTCAAGGAAGTTAAGGCAGATGATGACAGTTTGCAGTCACTGGATTGGATTACAAGACTAAAAATTGCATTAGGAGCTGCTGAGGGCCTTTCTTTCCTGCATCATGATTGTACTCCACCCCTTGTGCACAGGTACCACAAAATTTTTCCTTTTTCTTTTGCATTCATCTTTTCCATAGCTTTCCCATTTAGATAATCATACTTATTTTTGCTCCACAAATTGCAACATTGTCTTGCATCTCCTTCATTAGCCTTAATTTTCTTCCTAACCATCATGTTTGGCTGTCTATTGGATGTTTGGGATAGCTTCCAAAGCCCCCTTAGGCCATAGGTGAAAAACTCGACAATTTAAAACCGTTGTTGTCGTCTCCTGAAACTAGCTTTTAGATGGGAGAAACCTCTCAAAGATTAGTGCGGTGGGCCATGAGCATAATTCAGGGTGTGAGGCCCCTCGGTACCTGGTCGTAAAAATTAGATACATATTTGGCTGCTTAATGTGCATCACTGCATCTTAAGGATTCTGCACTAGCATAGTAGATTACCGACAATAATAGTATTGACTTTGATTTCTTTTGGTAATCAAGAGATGTTCAAGCAAGTAGCATACTTCTTGATGATAAATTTGAAGTGCGGCTCGGAAGCTTGAGCGACGTGTGTGCCCAAGAAGGGGATGGCCAACCGAGCAGACTTACCAAGTTGCTGAGGTTGCCACAGTAAGTAGTTTCTCAACAGACGAGTCTATCTGTTTTCATCATTTTTATGTTCTCTATTTGTGATCATGGTGAAAGAACTGTTGCAAAGATTTGACTATTGTGTGATATTATTCTTTTATTATTTTCTGATAATTGTTTTCTCCAAATGATGTGCAGGTCATCTGATCAAGGCTCTTCAGGTATGTAGAAAACTAGCCGATTTTTCGTCTTTGTATCTGTTTTCCACCAACAGTTTCATGAATCATAGTGTCGTGGATGTAGTAATAAACTTAGCATTTCATTCAACTCATGTCATGGTCTTGCTTAGCATATAACATCAAAGTTTAGTTAGAAAGGAAATTTTAATTCATTTTCGTTTGGCTGAAACTACAAACCCCTTGAAATTAGTAAATTACAAAACTATCTAGTTTTCCTGAACTAGTTGTCTAATTGGTTTGCACTCTTGGGTCTGGCTACCCATTTCTCAAACATGAGGTGAAGGGTCGTCTTCGAGAATTAACAACAAAAAGTTGAATCCATATGAACAGTGTTGCACCAGGCTCTTAGATATATCGGTTGCCCACGGGCTTCACATTGGAGAATTGTTGTTGTCATTTACTTCTCTCTGGTATTAGTGATCACATTGATAGGCATAACACTATTGAGTGGCTATGCCTATTTGAGAATGAGTTGTAAAATTCGACCCAAAAAAGTAGCCATTTTAAAGTTCTCAGTAAACATAGTTGAATATGTCCTACCATAGTCTAGTCCAACTTTGCTGAACTTTTCTTTGTTCAATCAAACATTACCTACCCAACAGAAAAATCCTCATTTTCTACGGTTTCGGTATTCGAACACCGCACTTTGTTTTACTTGTTCCACTGACAGCATAGAACTCTGTATAAGTATATACTAAATTCATCCATTTCCACAACCAGGTTTGCAGACAGCAGTATGTACCTATGATGTTTACTGCTTTGGCAAGGTGTTGCTTGARCTGGTGACAGGAAAGCTCGGGATTAGTGCCTCGGCCGACGCCCAAATCAGAGAATGGTTAGATCAGACCTTACCGTGCATCAGCATAAACAACAAGGAACTCATGATGAAGATACTGGATCCATCCTTGATTGTGGACGAGGATCTATTGGAAGAAGTGTGGGCTGTGGCTGTTGTCGCCAAGTCCTGCCTCAATCCGAAACCTTCAAGGCGGCCCTTAATGAAATACATCCACAAGGCTTTGGAAAACCCATTGAAGGTAGTTAGGGAAGAGAATTCAGGCTCAGGACGGTTTAGATCGACTTCCATCGGCAGTTCTTGGAATGCTGCTTTGTTCGGYAGCTGGCGTCAAAGCCTGTCTGATCTAACAGTGCTTCCATCGGCCTCCTTATCAAAAGCAGGCGGGAGCAGTTTCAAAAGATCAGGAACAATGGGTTCACAAGGAAGCGGTCAGAACGGCGGTGGTGAACATTCGTCGTCTCGTCGACAGCATTCGAAGGAGATATTCCCGGAACCGTCGGACGTGCAAGACATTGAAAGATTGGAGAATGAGTAGGCAGAAAGACATTGATTTGGTGTTGATTCTTTGTTAATAACACAGCACAGTTTCAGATTGAGCCCATTTTAGCTTGGTTTTGCAGCAAATGGTGACACAATCTCTGCCTTGTTCTACTGTTTTATTGGAGAGAGAGAGATAGAGAGAGTTCTGTTTTTTATAAGAACAAGCTGCATTTTTTCTGTAATTGATCATTTGTTTGTTGTAGCTTTTGGAATGTAAATTGTAACTTGTTTTCTTTTTGAGGCCAATTCTCTTTTGTTGGGAAAGGAAAGTTCAGTCTATAAACAAATCATACTTTTGTTTTGCCCTTGGAATTCAATTCTATTTCATCCATTTTTCCTCTAATAAAAAGTTAGCTTCATTCATCACATCACTATATACAAATATCATTTTTAAGTAGAATTTTATTTTGTATTTTTACCCCTTTTTTTTAGTTTTTTTCTTCTAAATTAGTGGCATTTGTCGTGAAAAAAATTTCACTTTAAACTCCCAATTTCATCGAGTTTGAACCATCGTTTTAAAAAAGTAATAATAATAATAAAGAAGATCTTTAAAAAAATCATTAATTTAATGAAAATTATATTTGCCATAAAATTAAATTTGATTATTGCTCAAAATGGATTAATGAATAATTCTATCAAAACTCACAAATGGTAATGAAAAAAAATCAGCTCTATTGTCATTTTTCTCTAAATCGCTATCAATGTTATATCATATAATTATATATATATAATTATATAATTTATTGAAATCACGTGAAATAAAATTTTCAATTACTTTTCAAATGGAAGTTTATCAGAATGTAGAAATTGAAAATTCTGTTCAAGTTTAAGATAAAGTTGCAATATTTTTTCAAGTATGTGGCAAAGACAGGCTACTTTTATCCGAATTTAGACATAATTGGATGAAATTGAACTCACCAATTTTAACCCAAAAAAAAGTGCTACTATTTCTCTTAATCATACCAATTTCATAGCAAATATATACTTTATAATTCATTGAACATAAAAGAAAATACATCTTTCAACAATTTTTTTGACGAAAATTTATTAGAAAGTAAAAACGGAAATGCTTATTTAAGTTTAAGGTAAAGGTTGTTACACTTATTTAAATTTAAGTGTGTATTTGATAAAATTAAAAGTTTATAGTAAAATTTGATATAATATCCCAAGTTTGAGGTAAAAATGATATTTTTCCACAACAAAATTCATATGAAACAAGCCTTATGGTGAAAACATTTTGATGGTTAATTCTTAAAGATTAAAAAAATTAAAATACACTTTTGGTCCATCGACTTTCATTAAAGTAAAAAATCTATAAACTTTAATATCTCAGAACAATTTAATTCTTATAGGCTAAAATTTGTAACAATTTAGTCTTTATCAAATTGAAGTGTCAGTTTTTATTAAATATAGATTTAGTCGAGGTAGTTTATAAACACATTTGGCCTATTTATTTTATTGATCTACATAGGTAAAAAAACCTATTGAATCTTAACAATATTTTTTTATGTTAGTAATTTTAAACTATAAGAAATTATTTGTTATACATACTAAATTTACAAATTAAACTGTATGAATAAATCATTACTTCAATATAATGAAGTTATAAGAATTTGATTTTTTTTATTTCTCTTGATAAGAAAACATCATACAACTTATAAGAAAATAATTTTCCCTGCCCCTTTTTGCCCTTTTGTGCTATAATATAAGGGTTATACTGATCCAATGAATAAGAATATAGTCAAGCAAGGATGCATTTTCTGAGAAATTTGAAGCAACCTTTTATATGCATTCCAGGTCTGCAGCGATCGATTGTATTGAAACTTCTCTGGAGTGGGTTAAGATCTTGTCGTCTGAAAACTCCAGGGCATCTTGAGCTATGTACATCACCGACACCATCAACAAAACCGATTTTGATGGATCTTGTTGCATTTGTAATTTCGATGAGGTTCGTGCCAATGAGGAGAACAGCGATGAGAATGAGCATGCTTTTCTTGGAAACAGCCATAGTGTATAGATAGCGAAAGTAGATACGATGTATAAAATGTTGAAAGACCACGATTGCTTGTTGTGACGAGAGGTTTGAAACGTCGATATTTATATTCGACTTAGACTTCTGTGTTGCTTGCTTGGCCGAGTTAGTTTTAAATGGCATCTTCGAAATTTGTTGGGAGTTAGAACAGAAAATAAATAAATAAAAGGAATGAGTTTGAAGTTTGGGGTTAACACTTTTCCAACTCTTTTTTTTTCTATTTTTACATGTGTACAGATCATATTTTGTCACACTAACACCATCACAAATTAACAACATTCATCTTTCTTGTTTCACACCCTCTAACAATTTATATTTATCATAGATTGTCAAAATTATCCCATTAGATTCCAATAGTTTTTTAATTTGTTAAATTTGTTAATAACACAGCACAAAATCACTGTATATTTGTTTTATAGCTTTTCGAATRCAAATGGTAAGTTGAAGCCAATTCTATTTTGTTTTGGGAAGGAAAGTTCAACCAATTTTTTTGGGCTAGGGTGGGGTAGAGAGGGTTTTTTATTTTTATTTTTGTTTTTATTTTTCATGTCGCCAAAAAATAAATATTTTTTTTTCATCCGCGTAAAAAATGATATAAACTAAATTTCATCTTGAACTAAATAAGAATCCAAGTCATAGATTTTAAGGACTCGTTTGGTAAAGTTTTCATTTTTTGTTTTTCGTTTTCAATTTTATGAAGTAATTTAAGTATTTTGCAACTAACCATGTTTCTTGTTTTTTTTTTTTGGAAACGACAAACAAGTTTTTTTTTGTTCTCATTTCCCATTTATTGTTGTATCATACTTGAATTTATGGATATTAAGGTCATGGAATTCATTTGTCTCTATTAAAAAAATGAAGAAACAGAAACGAACTCTAAAAGCAAGGACAACCATATATATCTTATGCTATAAAGTACATTTTGGTACAAAGTAAAAGCAAAATTATGAAAGTTTTGACCCAAAATCTAGATCATGTTTGGACTTTTTTATGGTAACAAAGGATCTTATCATATTTTGCCCAAAACTAAATATCAAATCTTTTCACATTTAATCAATATATATATGCCATATTATGTTCTCAAATTCTTCTTCCAAAAATTTTATATTTTCCTTACTATTGTCTCTCCCCTTCTATTAATTTTCATTTTTATTCATATCGGGCGGAGGCCAATCCAATGAACTTTACATCGTGTTCGTGTTCTTGCTTTCTTCTCTTACCAAACAAATATGGGTACTATTTTCAAATATATGTACATTATGTACCATTTTACTTTAATTGTGTACAATTATATAAATTATGTGTAAATTACTTACCGCTTATATTGTTTATTAATCATATATTAATACATGTTCTATATACGTGCATGTTAATTTTTCTTTTCTACTATATATGTCTATAAGTATATAAATTATATATGTCGAGAGTAGTTACAAAATTGTGAAAAGTAAAATTTTACTCCTAAATTTGGTAGAGGTGTATCAATTCTTACCCTAAACGTGAACAATCAATTTATTTTTGAAAATATTTTCTGCAATGGAATTAATTTCTCTTTATTTTCCTTCAAAAAAAATTCTCTTTATTTGAATAGGGACTTGTAGATATGAATGATCCTCAAATTATTTTAGAAAAAATCATGTCATAGATTGTAAAGGCTAGTTGGTCGTATATAAATTCATATTATTTTATAGGAGATCAAATAATCATTTATTTCTTTTAGTGTTACAATTTGCAACAAAATGAAGATTTAATTCTGCGATTTTTAGGAGAAATTACTAATATTCTCATTAGCTATGTTTAGTTTTGTAATGATATAATTTAATGTAATAGATAAGAACTATGATTTTGATATTGTAATTAAATTTTACATTTTTGGTGTTTGAGCTTTTAACTCTAAACTTTTACAATTTCTATTTTAATCTCGAACTTTTAAATAATGACATTTTCGGTCCTTGAACTTTCATAGTATCCTCTAAACTTTAAAAGTAATCATTTTGGTTTTTTTTTTATTTTATTTTTAATAGATTAATAACACAACTTCAGGTGTATATCTATAGTCAGTCTTAGCATAATTCAACAGGTTAAAGCACCTGTATTCAGCCAGAAGGTTGTGAGTTCGGGTCTCTCCACCCTACATGTTGTTCTAAATAAAAAAGAAATACATATATGTACATATTAACATGAGCATAACTTTAAACCATATATGTAAATATATATGTATAGTATTAGATAAGCAAAATTTAGATGGCAAAATAATAACAAATGCCAAAATGAACCTTTTTTAAAAATCTAAGGACTAAAATACATTTTTGAAAGTTTCGGGACCAAAACAAATAAACAATTGGAAAGTTCATGGATCGAAATGGAAAAGAAAAATTTGAAACCAAAATAATATATAAAGAAAATATAATTTGACTAAATAAATATTGATAGGTAAAAAAAAAACTAAATAAATGTTGTAAAGATTTTACTATTTATGTGATTAATAATTACTATTTTAGAATGAATATTACAATCCGGCGAAAATTAAGAGATGCATAATCGGCTGTGTGAAAAAAAAAATCATAAATTTGTTGAGAGTGGGATTTGAACCCACGCCCTTTCGGACCAGAACCTTAATCTGGCGCCTTAGACCAACTCGGCCATCTCAACATTTTTATTAATGAGTGCAGAACTATATTAATTATTCTCTATATATTTCAGATTATTTTCTTTTCATGTGCAAACAAATTTCTTTCTACTTTATAACTTTTTTTCTTCTTGGGTAATATGACAACAATTTGGATGAACTTTTTGCCCCTAAGTTCTAAATGTTGAACATTCATTGAAATATCAAGGTTTTGATTTTATAAAAACATTGATGGAATATGAATGAATACTTTTTAAGAAATTATAAAAACAAAAAAGTTTATTAGAAATAAGTATTTTAATTTTTTTTAAATAGGTTAAAAATTATTAATATTAAGATTATATCTCATGTTATGTTGATGCTTTTATATTTTGTATAATTTTTTGTCATACATGAAAATATCAATTCACCTCTCGTGTCTTCGTAGAATCCAAAAATATATAATATTGTTGATTTAATACCCCACCTTCAACGTTAAAATATTATTAAGTTAAGTTTAAAGTTATCCAACTAGTATCCTAGTTACTAAGCTTATAATTCTAAAATTGAAAAGGAAACTCAAAGAAAGGATATTTTTTCCTTGAAAAAGATTTTTAAGTATTATCCAAGAGAATTGGGAGATGAAGAAGAAAGGAAGCTATCAAAAACTTGTCACACAACTGAAACCACTGTTATCTTCTTCACAAATCACACCCACAGGCCACAGCTGCCGCCATTTTTTAGCAAAATCCAAGCTAAAATGTTATCCTCTTCTTCTTTATGTTCAAACCCACATCTCTATCCTCTTCATTTCCGCCCTCCCAATCCCAATTCCAATCCCCTCTCCAATCTCTTCCACAAACCCAATTATACCGCCGCCGTCGCCGTCGCCTCCGCCGCTCTCTCCGACGACATCCACCCGGAACCACGAAAACACAACTCCAAATCCGCCGCCCTTCTCAGCCACTACCTATCCTCCGGTGACTCCCCGAACCCAGAAAAGCTACAGCCCCCTTTACCCGAAGAGGAGAAAGTGAAGCTTCTTGAACTCTCGCTTGTGACAAAGCGAACCCCTCAATTTCCTGGCTCCATCTACGTTCAATCCCCGAGTCATGATTCCAATGTGGATTCCTCTCTGCAATCTCGGTTTCGAAATGGGGGGAGCGAGTTGGACGTGGAAGATGACCGGAGAATTATCAATCGGGCTCTGGAGATCCGCCGGAAGGTGACCTCGGAGATTCTTAAGGAGGCCATGCGGAAGGGGAAATTTGGAATCACCTACGCCACCAATTTGCTTGCTTGGTTGCCTGATTTCATTGATTTTGTGATGATTCAAGCTGCATCGATGAAGCAGTCGCCTGAATTTTCTCGTTTATCTTTCAGTGTTCGTGCCAAGACCGTCATTGAAGATTCAAATGTGGTGCCACTTATCAGGTTAGGTAGATGGGAGTAAAATATCATCTGGGTTTTGATTTGTTTCACATTATAGGTCGATTAGGAGTAAAATATCATCTGGGTTTTGATTTGTTTCACATTATAGGTCGATTAGGAGTAAAATATCATCTGGGTTTTGATTTGTTTCACATTATAGGTCGATTAGGAGTAAAATATCATCTGGGTTTTGATTTGTTTCACATTATAGGTCGATTAGGAGTAAAATATCATCTGGGTTTTGATTTGTTTCATATTATAGGTAGATGGGAGTGAAATATCATATGGGTTTGATTTGCTTCATATTATCTATCAGGTTCTTGGTTTCTTTTGGGAACAATAAAAAAGGGATTCATGGTTGAATAATAACCCTATGAGCATATCACAGTTCAAACTTGTTCCATATTTTTCAGTCTTGGAAGTTCTTCCTTGAATTCTAGTGAGTTTAGAATGGATTTTGACAACATGCTCTTTCCCTGAAGCACTCTAGAAGATGTCCTACAAGAGGAATTGTTAGATTTTGAACCTATATCCAACTATTATTTGGAGTTTGGCAGCACATTGAATAATGTCTCTTTGATCATGGAATTGGCTAAAGCACTTTTCACCATAACAAACTCACCCTTCCTTCATCTCACAGGTGGTTGAAGCATAACTCATTGTCATATCCACAGATAGGAAAGCTCATTTGCATGTCAAGGGGAAAGCTTGAATCCATTAGACGTCTGGTGGAATGGCTGAAAGGGATTCATGTGAAGGGGGGATATCTTGGACTTACACTCACGAAGGCTGGAGGGAATATATTGGAACGAAGCAATGAGGAATTAGATGAGATTGTGGACTACTTAGAGAGCAATGGAGTTAGAATGGTTTGGATGGGGTTTGTCATGAGTCGATGTCCTTACTTGTTGTCTTACAGCATGGAAGAATTGAGAACTCGTGTAGAGTTCTTCTTGAATATGGGTATGAATGAAAGGGACTTTGGCACAATGGTTTTTGATTATCCCAAGGTGCTTGGTCATTATACTGTTGAAGATATGAACCGAAAGGTACGTCGAATTTAGTTTGAGCATTATGTCTATTGAGTCCATGAACTTTAAAAAGTTTTCGTTAAGTTTCTAAACTTGGCAGACTCTGCCGTTTATGCTGTTCGGAATGCAGAGATGACATGCTTATTAGATAAATGTTAGTTCGTTTGGCGTGGCATGTTCATATTGTGTCTAATATGGCTTTCGAACGCAATGCGGGATGTCTAATCTGCGTATGTGCATGACATTGTTCTCTTGTCAGGATCATGAGAATGAGGAGAGGGAAATTCTTTTCATTGATGAATGATCAGGGGATTTCTAGATGTAATAGTTGTCTTAATTTCTAGACCAGCTCATTTTCCTTTAACCTATTTTTGCTTTCTACCTTTTCAAAGTAGTAGGATTAATGTACCCTTAAGGTTTGCTTTCCTAAAAATGTGAATCACTTATTTGGTCGGGGTAAGCGCTAACACTCGTGTTGATCGTCTTATACGTCCAGGTCAACTATTTAAAGGAGTTCGGCGTTGAGATTGAGGATGTAGGCAAATTACTAGCATATAAACCACAATTGATGAACTGTAGCATTGAGGATAAATGGAAGCCTCTTGTCAAGTACTTCTACTACCTTGGAATTTCTAAAGATGGTTTAAGGAGGATGCTTACAATCAAGCCAGTAGTCTTCTGCCTTGATCTGGAGACAATCATTGTGCCAAAGGTATTTCTTACATGTCTTTTTGTGTCGTGTCAATATTTTAAGACAAAAAACAAACCGCAATGCATGAATTGGATTATGGAGATTATCAAGCGAAGGGAGAAATGGGATGTGTTTCTGTCATGCCTTAGCAATGCCAGAAGTTTCAGTGAGAATATCTATGATGAAGTCTGAAGGTGCATTTTTTTTTTTTCTGTTGCGATGAAGGTGCAATTCTTCAAGGACATTGGAGTTCAAGATGATGGGATTAGTAATATGCTTGTGAAATTTCCATCATTATTGACGTACAGCCTCTACAAGAAAATCCGTCCAGTTGTGAGTTCATTTTCCTATTTATCCTGTCTTTATATACTATGATTCAGATTATTTATTTGTTTAACCACCAGCAGAAATCAATCCCATTTAGATATTTAGGAATCTGGATTTGTGAAATCTTTACGCGGGGTGTGTATCTGCAGCATAGCTTCATAGGCATGACGGTTTTTCCTATGGTGCATTCCCATCACTCTTTTTAATAAGAAATCCTATCCATAAGATCAAGTGGTTGTCCCATGAGATTAGTCGAGGTACTCGCAAACTAACCTGGACACTCATAGATATCAAAAAAAAGAAAAGAGAGGGAAATGCTATCCATTTGGGTTTCTTTTTCAGTACATAAGTTATCCATGAATGTTTTCTGTAACACATGGGTGAAGAGTAGAGTAAGAGAAGGGTTTAAAATGTTGAGATTTTGCTTGTCTTTCGGCCTACTACGTTTTCCTTGCACCTCATGGGCATTTATATTCATTTTTCTCCATTTTCTCCTATTTTTCGAATTTTGTTAGACAAAAATACGACGTGGGACAGCCTTTTCAATATTAGTTGGGAAAAATGGCGAAGTACTTTCTCGTATCAAAATGAATTCACTTTTCAAGATATACTTGCCAAGAACACATTATGCTCTCTCCTCTGCTGATATAAGAGTATATTAAAATTTTTGAAGATTTGCTCAACAGCCTTAGCTGAAAAACCATGCAGGTCATATTCTTGATGACCAAAGCAGGAGTCAGGGAGAAAGACATTGGGAAAGTTATAGCTTTGGGACCAGAACTTTTCGGTTATAGCATTGTGCATAAGCTTGAGGTTAATCTAAAGTACTTTTTGTCGCTCGGGATAAACGCCCAAAAGTTAGGGGAAATGATTGCTGATTTTCCTATGCTGCTCCGATACAATATCGACATTCTTCGACCGAAGTATCAATATTTGCGGAGAACCATGGTCCGCCCTCTGCAAGATCTTATAGACTTTCCGAGGTAAGAATCCGCATATGCCTATGTTAACTTCTCGTAAGCTTAGTTCGAATATTATTTAGGTGACTATTCAACTAATACAAGTCCTTTGGCTTGTTAATCTTAAGAAATTATGATCTGTGTATATATTCCTCTAGTGTTCAACATGATTAATCATGTGCATTTGTACAATGAAGCCAACTTAGTGGAGTCAAAGTTCTTATGATATTATATTACAGGTTTTTTAGCTATTCTCTCGACGGGCGCATTATCCCGAGACATCAGGTTTTGGTCGAGAATCGTATGAATTTCAATTTACGTTCCATGTTGGCTTGCACGGATGAAGAGTTTAAGAACAAAGTTGCAGATATTGTGGAAAAACGTCAAAGATTTGAATCTGGTAATGTGGATGGTTCTCTCTCTACTGTCCTTACAACCAGTGATTTGATAGATTCGAGAACACCAGATGACTTTTCTGGAGAAAATGAAGAGTGATTTCATGGTTGAAATCTCAGAACTTTCTCCCCCACTTGAGCTTATGGAACAGAAGAATAACTTGCGACAGAAACAAGGTGAGGAAATCAAATAAATGTGTTAGAACTCGAACAAGAAATATATTGAAAGATAACGAGATATAGAAACTACAATAACTACCAAGTAATTATTGGATACCTTCATTCTTACACCTCATTCTATTTATAACAACACTCCCTAACAACTTTCCTATATAATTACTAAGGTACCCTCGATACTCTAATAATATCCCTGTATTATCCTAAGGGTCATTCCTATCATTACCCGACCCATTAAAACACACCTTGTCCTCAAGGTGTGGCTAAACAAAAACTTTTTTTTTTTTTCACAACCACAAAAATTGGGATTCAGCCTTCAACAAAAAACTGCAAAAAGAAATCCCTAGTTGGTTCCACGGCTACTAAAACACAAAAACACACCTTGTCCTCGATGCATTGTGCATAATCGTGACCCGTACTGTGACCCGCCAATTTACTATACTGCCAATCACTTTATCGACATTGTTTACTATACTGCCTACTCCTGTTTCTTTTCAACCAATTTTCTTTTCGTGCAGGTAGACAGTAGGTTAGAATGAAACAGTGCTGATTGACGAGTTCAAGATGATATGCAGCACAGCGATTTCACAACGAAAAGGCTGAAAGAAATAGGAGGACCTAGTTAAATCAGCAATCTCAACTCAAAGGCAAGGGTGGAAACTACTGTGGCTCCAAGGTATCACCTATCTGGATGATATCAACATCTCTCTTAGTGTAAAAAGAATGTGGCACCTTCTCATTGTAATGTAAAGAAAACAGTGTACATCGACGAGAAGGAAAAAAAGCTTCTTTGTGAAGCATTGAAGCTGCCCCTGAAAGTAGACACAAATGCTCGTCTCTAATAGGAAACGAGAGTTTTACCTCTCAAGAGAAAATGCCACAACTCCATGGATATAAGATTATTCTTTCAATACTTTCCTCCTAAAACAAAGGATCCAAGGTTGACTTAATGGTCGGGAATTCTGTACGTAAGCTGCCTCAAGTTTGTTGTCATAAATATCTCCAGATTATGTCAGGTTCAGTGTTGGCTGAGCAGGCAACTCAATTTGATTGAAACAAGAATAGCTTCTATTAACAAAAATGTCCAAATAACGATATTCAATTACAAGCCCAAACCGAACATAGTTCAACTAGTTAAAAACATATATCTCTGATTAAACAGTTGTGAGTTTGACTCCTTAATTCTATGTACCGGAAAAAAATGCATATAAATGCCTTACAATTTAAAGTCTCTTGGTGCATCCTAATCTTAATTCTATCGATATCCATCTTAATTTATCCATCATCAAATAAGATTATATACTCAAATTGTGCATGTTCTATGAAAATTTCTAATATTTTCATAGATTTTCTTTTTTAGAATTAATACCAAGGATTGAAGTCATGAAGAACATTCAAGAAATGTTGAGGATAATTGTTCATATTTTAACTACATTACAACTGTTTGATGAGAAACCATAACATTCCCATTTTTATTGGGAAGAAAAAGAAAAGTGACTTTGAAAAATCCCAAACTTGGGCCTAAGAGCAGAAGCAGCAAGAATTATGTTCTCAACTCACGATTTCAACAGCATGCACGGGTTTATGTTATTATAAACGCACTAAGAAAAGTCAAATGCAGAGTGCACCATTGATAACATATCAGCGATAGAGGCTTTCAGATCTGAGATTTTCTGCAATTTCGGTCTCCCACCGGTCTCCGTTCTCAAGCAACTTTTCTTTGTCATAGAGGAGCTCCTATAACATCACAAAACTATTAGGCTCACATTCATAGCAAGACTAGCGGCTTATATAATACAATTTAGAAACGTAATAAAATCAACCTCGTGAGTCTCCGTTGCAAACTCGAAGTTGGGACCTTCAACAATGGCGTCAACAGGGCATGCTTCTTGACAAAATCCACAGTAGATGCATTTGGTCATGTCAATGTCATACCTGAAAATTAAGATTAATTAGAGACATGGAGAAAAGATGACGGGGTGGTGCGGAGGTGATAGATCACCTTGTGGTCCTACGACTACCATCTTCCCGTTCCTCAGCTTCAATTGTGATCGCTTGGGCTGGACAAATCTAAGAAGAAAATAAAAATAGAATAACAGACATAAGTTCAAAGCCGTAAACTCAGAGTAATGATCAGCTATGCTCGAATGGTTAAACACGTAATAAAAGATTGAATTCTGTCTCCAAGGCTTTTTAAGAGATCAAAACCCTCGGTATTTCAAGTATGGCCTGCTAAAACATTATGTAACATTATTAAATCTGTACAAAATTTTGAAAATAATATCAACTCTTAAATTACGGGGCTACCAAGCAAAACTTCTACGAAGATGCAGTGTGATCAAATTAACCAATGATGGAATATATGAGCACAAATAGTTCTCAAAGTTAGCATTTCTTACAGAACTCATATTATTAGGCTAGATCCCCTGCTAGACCTCCCCAAGGCCCAACCCCTTTGCCCTCTTCGAATCTCCAAACCTCATTACTCGATGTAGTTTTTAGTTTCTTACAGCATCATGTCCATTGATAGGAACTAGAAATTGAAGTAGAAAATTGAGTATGGACTGTTTTTACACACAGTTTCTCCACACCAAATGCCACACCATCAAGACTATACTACCATGAGAGTATGGACTGTTTTTTTAATAGGAAAATATCTCTCCCCCAGATTTGCCTCCGTCCTCACTCCAACCCTTTATTTACACTAATAACACCTCTTTTTATAGTGTAAACACCTCTTTTTGTAACTCTAACTAACAACCTGATATAACTTTTACAAACTATAATTTTAACTTCACATACAACCACTTATTGGTTACTGAGACGAGAAAAAAGATAGCTACTTAAAGACTTTGTGACTGTATTACCTAATAAATCATAAGCATATGGGTTAAAAAAAGCATACAGTAGAGGCATACAACCAGCCACATTTGAACATAAAAATTTAATGGCAAAAAGGACACAATAAATCCCTCTCAAAAACAGATGCTTGCACAAATACAGTCTTCAGTCAACGAGACAAAGCATGTCTCTTATTCCTGATCACCTTAGGTGCATTCTATCCTAATTATATTTCTCAATTGACTGCATAATTAGGACTAAGACACAGTGCTATAGCCTAAGAGTAGGAGTCTAGTAGGAACGACAATTATTATCACCTTCAACTATGAGGATGGTTGTTAGACTAAAAGTATTATTAAGAAAAACTTGTTGGCAAGATATATACAGACTTCTCTAACTCTAACATTTCTTTGCAGAATTATACTGTGCAATCCAAAATGACTTAAAGTAAAAGATTAAAACACAGATCCAAATTCTTACAGCTTCACAAAGTTTGCATGCAATGCATCGTTCTTCTCCAGTTGCATATCGTCGGAGGGCATGCTCACCTCGAAAACGAGGGCTTAGTGGGCCTTTCTCGAATGGGTAATTGATCTAGACAAAAGATGTACAATAATCAGGAATCAGCCATCAGGATCAACCAGAAGTTTAGCTGATTGCTAGAGAATGCTGGGGGAGGACACTTACAGTAACTTTTTTCTCAAAGAAGTATTTAAGAGTCAACATCAAACCACGAACCATTTCAGTGAGAAATAGTGTGTTTATGCTACGCTCAAAAACTACAGATGGAAAAGAAATTAATTTTTGTAAGAACCATCAAATATAATCAAAACAAATAACTTTTAAAGATTTAAAAGAAAAAATGGAAGAGACGATGGAAGGAAATATAAAATTACTAGAACTCCAATCCTTCGAGATCTCCTTGGCAAGCTGCTCTCTTTCTTCATCGTCTGCAGAAGTAATGAGATGCAAAAGAAATTTAAGCAAAGAAAAAAAGAAACCTATAACATAATTTCAGTAGAAATAAAACCAATAAGTTCATATCACGGAAATCATCTATATACTGACTGCTTAGTTCATTAGTCATTAGCACAATTTGGAGATAAATTATACCAACATGTACATAAAAGTGTATGTTCAGACAATGAGAACCCGAAACAAAACCTTTTTTGGTGCTGAACAAGTGTGCACTTGACCGAAGACCATGAAAAGGAGAACCTTGCAGTGCTTGTCCAGACACGGCCTAACAACAATAGATTACACAAATAATAAATAATAAAGGATAATAGGTTGCTACAACTACCAGAAATGAGAAATATTATTTTTGTGGCATAATTCCTATCATGTTTTCAATCAAATTGGCATACATCTCCGTGACAATAAGAGCTCATGAAATAACATTTTTCATCGAACTTGAAGTGTTCACAGCAAAGCTAATAACACCTGAAGGCCATCCAAAGGTGAACATTGAACAGGATCCTCCCACACCAACGTAGAAATAGATGAATAATAAAGATTACAAAACAAATAACTGGTAATTTAGATACAAGAAAAATAAGCCACATAACACCATAAATTAGATCATTAATTTTTTTTCCCAATCATGAGCACATGGATAGAATTCAAGGAAGGAACATGAATAGCATAACTCTCACTAAAATTCCAGAAACCATTTGCAGATCTTAGCGACATTATCTAGATAAAAATCTACATTTAGCCAAAAAGTCCAGAAATGTTGCATTGCATAAACAACCTAACCATCAACTCCCCAGTCCGCCAGCAGTTATTACCCCGTTCACATGTCAACCTCGTCTAATTAGCAAATAAAACAGTAATGGAACAAATTATTTACGCAAAAAATAATTCACAATGACCATCACTAGTAATCATGGTTCAGCCAGATTGCGCAAAACAAAAGAAGTAAATCATCACTCGGAAAACCACGGCTCATTCTTCTGCCAGCTAAATTTATAAAAAAAAAATCTCCTAAAACAGAAAGAGAAGCCCATCGTATGGTGTTTTCAAGCAATTTGTTGTCACAAGTCCATCGCCAACAAAATAGGAGAGGGAGAGAGAATAAAAATCAGGGCAAAGAAAACTGCTTACAAGGTGTCGAGCACGAAGAGCGAGAAGGGATTTCCGAGCTAAGATCGCAGCCATGGCACACGGAGGCTCTGCAAGTATTCTTCACCGCTACACGGAGGGTGGGATTCGGAAATGTTCTGCAGACTGAGCTATGCGATCGCTGCGTCCCTGAATCGTTCCGACTTCCGGCCGATAAAACGCCGCGTCTTGGGCTTGGGCTTGGGTTTGGGCTTCTTGCCAGATATTTGAGCAGGCCCAGATCTAGGATGACACGGGCCCATAAAAGATGAGAAACTTGTGTGCTGATTAAATTTCAGACTTAAACCATGAAAGTATAAATTTAGTTTGATTGGAAATCTAATCGTCATTTGATGAATATGATAAATGGGTAGCTGCAAATCTAGCAAATTTTAATTAAAATATTAAAAGGATGTAAAATTACAAATTTGGCTCTTAGGAGGGAAACACATAAATATTTAGATGTACTTCATATTGAATGGATAATTTACGGACCGAGTTTCAGACCTAGAATAAGAGTCCTTAGACCTTGTTGTTCTGGCATACAAGTAAACACGAACATGAACCTTTTAAGTTTTTTTTAGTTCAATAACATGTGGGTCAGATATTCAAATTTCATTTTGTTTGGTCAATAATAATTTTTTTTAGTAGTTGAATGATGCTCAGGCTTTGAAAGTTTTAATTTGATTCTTATTGTTTATTCAAACTTTCGTATTAACAATTTGTTTATAAAAAAACAATAACTCGAAATTTTCTATTTAAAAAACTATTTTAATTTACTATACAATAGTCTAGGGTGTGATAAATATAAGACAACTTTGAAGAATAAACCAACTTTAGAGTTGGGTATATGGTCACCACTAATCCTTTAGTTTTTTTTTTTATATATACAAAATGTGGGATAGAGATTTGAACTTTTTATTAGAAATAGGTACCTTAACCATATGAACTATGTTCCATTTCGCGTAGTTTGATTTTTTCTAATGGGGTGTTTCTTTGATAAAGTGTATATATAATGACTTAATTTTCTATCTCAATCTTCGATGCTTCGAACCCCGCAATGGGAACTGAAAAAAGAGAGAAAAAAGTTCTCTGGATATAAAGTCAGGCCTTCCGCAGTCTGCCGGCCCGTTCCAAAGCCCATTTGCGGCGGTGTTTATGCGAAACCTGCTCTGGAGCTCACCGTCTTCTGAAGATTACCAGAAATGGCGGCCGTTTGCCGATCACTTCTAACGGCCGCGGGTTCGAGGTCCATCGCCGGCCGTACCAGAACACTGACTCCTAAAACCCTAAATCCAATGCCTGTTTCTTCTTCTTCGTCCAGAGGCGTCCCTTCCGTTTCCAGGTACTTTCACTTCAAATTTGCAGTTTCATTCAGAGGTTCAAGTCAAACCACTGCTTGCGTCCGGTTCTATCCTTTACCTGCCGGAATTTCATTCGATCTTAGTTAATTTTCTGTTATTGACTTTCTTTTTGCTGGATATATTTGATTTTTCTCAATTTTTGTTGTTCGTACTTTGTTTTTGTCCAGAATTGTTTCGTCTTTGGCTACTGTGGAGTCGCTGATGCCACTCCACAGCGCCGTCGCTTCAGCTCGGCTGAAGTCCAAAATTGCTGTCGACTCGCATTGCTGGAGCTGGCTTTCTGAAGGTTGTTTAATTCTCCATTTCTCTATTTAGATTGTTCTTGTATAGACGTACGTTTTTATCTGCGATGTGGAGAGGATTTTTGTTCATATTATTCGTTTTCTTAATGCTGCGTCTCTTCTCTTACTCTATGTTTGGCTCTCGATCCGCTGCAACATCTAAAGGAGGAATTCCTGTAATATTGCTGCTATTTTCCAATTTTATCTCTGAACTCATATATTTGATATCAAATGAAGTTAGAGAACTTGGGATTTGGGAGATGCCTTCTTACTTCCAAAGAATATACAATGTGATTTGTTTGCCTTGAACTTCAACTCCCTGTTGTTGTCCTCCATCGTAAGTTAAGCTCGAGTTTAAGCTTAGTTTGAGAACAATTTTGCTTTCAATTTTAGATTTTTAAAAGATTAGACAGTTTACTAATAATTTCTTTATTTGGTTTTCTACTTTTTTAGAAAATGCTTCTGAAACCTTGGCCAAATTTCAAAAGCTATAAACATTACATCGCCCAAAACCATTTAAAAAACAAATAATTAGAAACAAAATTGTTGTCGAAAGAGTTGTTAGTTATTGATTAACATATTGTTACTTGTGTCTTGTGTGTATTTACGATCTCTGTACTGTCAATAAGATTCAATAAATGGTAACATTCAATTATATAATCTACATCATCATCCATCCATACTACATCTCTCGTATCACATTGAGTTCATATCTAACTTCGTTTTACTTTATCGTTTAGGATTTGCAACACCTTTGTGACGTAAGATTGGCACAGACGAATGGAAATCGACCATACAGCTCGATAACTGGTTGCTGATAGGGGCTCTCAGTAAGAGTTGCGAGGTTTTCGCTTTTCCTACTTATCTTTGTTAGATACCTTTGTCACAAGGTAGAATCATTTGGGCTGTTCCTTTTCATCATTGTATTGTTCAATGCGGCCACATTTTCTGGATATGCAGAGAGTTATTGTTTTCAGCCTCTAACCACAAAACTTGAGAGATAGGATTTTTATCAGGCATCTCTCTGTTTCTTTATGGTTTTAATGTGGGGGTTTTGAGCTGACTTCTTAGAACATTCTGCTGAGCTTGAAACTTTAAGAGTTGAGTTTAACCGATCATCAGATTACCGTTTTTCAGGCATTTCTTATCCTTTGAAGCTAGTTAGATTATAATAGGAATGGTTTAGTCTTATTTACTGGCTTAGTCTGTATCTGTGCCAAAGATGTGATGAATTTTTTTCTTCAGACTGTTGTCTTCTAATGTCATCAATACCTGTTTCAAGTCTCTACTTGGATTTGGGATTAGATAGTCTAAACTGGTGAAAGACTTCGATCCATCCCCATAAAAAACAGTGTAATGGGTCTATGCTAATGTCTAATGGGGGTGAAATTGCATGTTTATACCCATTTAAAACACAAAATGAGTTTGCAAGATGAATTGCGAGATGGAAGTAGTTGCAAGATAAAACGACCTTACTTGAACAAGATAACTTTGTATAAAAGTTGTACATCTGTATACTTGAGTTGATAGAATATGGCTAACGAGATTGAAAATGTCTGCGAGTTGGATTTTGATGTTCGATTTTATAATATCTATGAGGCATATTTGTGTGGCACTGTTCACAGCAGGTTTAAAAATATTTAAACTTCGAGTTAATGGAATGAATAGTTGAAACTTGAGTGAGAAAATGACAATAATTTTTTTAAAAAGAAGTTAGATTTTGATGTTTGATTTTGTAATATGTATTACACGTATCTATGTATCCCTGTTCATAGTTTGTTTAACAATATTTAAACTTGGAGTTTATGGAACTTGAGAGAGAGAAGTACTCTTGACTCACTCATATTTGGCATAGAAAATACTGAAAATGGATTTTATTGATGTGCAATATGTTTACTTTATAAGGAAGAGTTTTATCAAATTTGGCCATGTTGACCCCGTAGCCCCTCTCCCTCCCTAGGGGATGAATCGCACCTAAAATATTAGAATTTGAATGAGATTTACGATACTATCATTGTATATAACTAATAGTAGTACATGACTTGACTTAGCATCTTTCCTATCTTCGCTGCACTTGCGCTTTCCCTTGCTCAGATGTTCGCCCTTCTCAATCTTGGAAAGGTGACCCGCGGGAGACGGGAGCCCTTTTAACATGCTAGCAGCTTTTTAGCATCTTTCCTATATTCTCTTTCTTAAAGCAATTCGACCCCTCACCCACCTTGCCACTTGTGAAATTAAGAGCTCCAAAACTTTCATAACATTTTCTGTCTAAATTATACAACCCGTCGAGCAGTATAGTTAGATCATCTCGAATTCCTATATCTCGCTGACCCTTTTGAGCAATACTCTGTATTAACAACCTATTTTTACAACCATCTTGAAAGAAAGATAGAGTAACTAGCAATAATCTTCCCGGAAGTAAAAATGAACAAATTATCCAGCAACAACTCTTCTCTGAAATTATTGGCCATAAAAACGATTTACATGTGCCAAAAGAAAACAAATAAAAAGGGCAAAAAAGGAGAGTTGCCAAACTATTAGATAATTATCAGCTTCTTCTTATGTAATTACATTACAACACCGAAAAAGAGGAGTCGTTTTCGTGCTTATGCGAGAAATGGGACACCAAGAGCATGGACCATTTCGGTTGCTAAAGGGAACACCTTTCTAGGTTTATATACAAACTTAAGTTTCCATTTCCTTTCCTATATGCACAATACTGAGAGAGATTTGGAGAACCCAACTCACAGTACAAAGCCACCATTTTGTTTTGTTTCATCATCGGAGTTTTTCTGGCTGCGGGGGATGTGTTGCACGTCGGAACCAAGTGTTGAAGGCTCTGAACAGGTGAGGGCAGTCGTCAACATTTCTGGTGAAGCTAAGACACTGCTGTAACAACTCCTGTGCATCTGACAAGGGAAGCGTCGAAATGATTCTCAGGAATGTTTCCTCCAGCTCCATACACAGGTTTTTGTTACTGGAAAACAAGGGCGAGTGGTCTTTGCTGACTATCAGAACTGGAAGCCAATTTTTTATGAGCTTCTTTCGAACCTGAGAAGTTAGAGCGAAAAGCGAGTAAATAATGCAGTTTCCTAATCAAACAAGAATATCATCAAACCCAACAGTGGTACTCTACTCGGGTTAATATAGATCTACTACTTCTGCAATCAACTGTTTTAAGATGGATCATCTAGGAAGACTTGCGGCAAAAAAGCCTCATTTATGCCAACAAGGGACAGTTAGGGGTCAAAAATAATGCTTTGATTCATCATGTATCAGTCATCTTTTTCTTTTCTTTTCTTCTTTTTTTTTTGTGAAAAATTCAGCTATCTGGCCTTAATAAATAATTTTCTGCAAGTTCAAGAACCCTCCCTCTAATTAAACCACAGAGACAATAGAATAAATTAATTAGCTAATAACATAAAAAACCAAGCTATATCCCTAACATTTTTACAAAAATACAAGGAATATTCTGCAACTGATTGTATAGTCAGCTTTTTTTCTCATCCATGCATCATTAAAGTTCATTTCTCGTCAAAGAATTGCCATACAAATTCTAGATGCAAGGCCCTGTTTCTCCTAGTCCTAGAAACTGCCTCTACACTAACTCCTTACTCTCTCACCCTTCAAAGTGTAAAACATGGCAAAATCTCATTTGAATTGATCGTTCAATGTTTTCTTTAATCCAAGCTCTGTGAACTCGAGGCCCCCAAATCCTTTAAAGAGCAAAAACTTCAAAACTACCATACTCCCAAGGAAAAATGAAGGTATCACATCACATAAGCAAGTAACCATAACCCTCCACGCCTCCATAAGAAAATTAGACAAAATTTGTAACTAGATCACACTATGTTGTTAATAACTTGCCTCCACTCAAAAAGATAACAAGGGGGAAAATGGGTCCAATAAATTAACACTCAACAAAATCTCAGAAAACTGAAATGCGAACTGTCTATTTCAGCTGCATTCCAAAATATGGAAACAAAATCCTACGCAAGCTAGCTACTACACATAACCACATTTCATTAGATAGAAAAATCTGATTAACACCAAAATAGAACATCACCATCTTTCAAAAGTCACACACAGACAGCACATTTAAACATAGGAGTCAATTGGAAACAAAAAAAATATTTTACTCGCAAGAAGTTGGAAAGAGCTATGCAAAGTGATTGATATACCTGTTTAGTGGCCAAAATGCTACCAGCAGCAACTGCATTAGCAAGCTTGCCAGTGCATCGCAGAAGAACAGTAGGAAACCCGGGGACAATGCCCCTCAACGCATCGTCTCGAAATGTTCGTTGTAAATCGGCGGTGAAAGAAGCCTGTTCACTCCATTCAGCCACAGCAACATCGGCCACCCTCAATTCAATCATCCTTTCAACCAGCCACGACAAATGCTTAGCATTTGTCATTGCTGTGTGCAAATTGAGCCTTTGAATGGCCTCCGTCTCGTTATGGTTTCCTCTAAAATCTGGGCTTGAATATTCCTCCAGAGACTCCTTCACGACCTTCAGGCTCGTCTCGAATGCTCTCTTCAGCACTCTCTTGGCGGACTCTCTTGAGGAGAAGTCCTTCATAAGCCTCGCCACGAATGCCTTCACGAAAGCCATATTGGGATAGTTATGAATGGCAGCTAAAATCAGTCCCTGCAACATTTCCTCGCAAGAATCATTTCGGCCCGGCGAAACCCTAGCAAGAAGCTCCCTCGATTCTTCCTCCTGCAGAAACGGAATCAAACCCATGACTCTTTTTTCCTCCTCGTCACTCCACGGCACGGCCTCGAGAAATCGAACGCAGGACTTCACACAATCCTCGAAGAGAAATTTAAGTGCAACAGGGAGGAGATCCAGCGCGGCCTTCGCGTTATCTATAGCGTCCGACATATCATCGGCGTAAAGAAGCTCAAGAACAGCCAAATGGTTATCCATGGAGCCCTGCGCTGCCGGGACACCAAAATCCAACCTCAGAGGACCGGAATCATCCTTCTGTGGCTGCCATCGGTCGGACAATCGGGCAGCAAAGTACTTAGATCGGCGAAGAACATGAGAATGAAGATAAATCTGGACATCGGAAGACGTGAGGGAGTCGGAATCGGAGGAATCAAAAGGGGTAACCTCCTCGAAGAGGCGGAGGACAATATCGGCGGTGGAGGCGTCGTTGAAAGCCGCGACCGACGAAAACGATGTGGTACGACGGAGAGTATGGGGCTTTTTGGAGACTTCAGTTAAGGATTTGTCCGGTAAGGAGGAGCAATCGATGACGGCGGCGATGGAGGAGTGGCGGCTGGTGGAGGCAGAGTGTTGAACGCGCTGCCTCTTCTTGGAACCTCCGACGGTCATTTCCTTACCGATTCGCTCGTAGATTAGCTCCTTCCACGCGAAATCAACCCTAGGAATCAATCGAACAGAAACGAAGAGGATGAAGAAGAAGATGAAGAATAC